AGGTCTAGAGTATTTGGAGTCTGATTACCTCTAAAATGGGTTGGCTTTGTGATGTGCTGGTATAAAAATGAGTCTCGCACAGACTCCATGAACAAGGATGAAGGGTGATTCTCATCCCTTGGAGAGGATTCATGTGCCCAGTCTATTTCTGGATGGTTAAAGTCACCAAAGATTAACGTATGCGACCTGCTGAAAGTCATGCTTGGTAGAAGACTGTTCAGTACTTGATCGTTATCAGAGGAACTGTTGGGTGATCTATACAGGACACCTATAAGGAGGCTATCCCTGCTTTTTAAAGAAAGCTCACACCACACTGATTCTCTAGCTGATTGGTGCTCTGCTCATAACTTAACTTGTTGGGCCCCATAAAAGGTTCTAACCCACAGACCTACACCTCTACATTAACTTCAGTATACTTTCTCTTAAATAAATATGAACATGAAATTATGCGAAAATATTACAAAAAAAATTTAAAATCTAATATTTTAAAAAATTCGTCAGAAATATAAAAAAATAAAATAAAATCTACAATATTGAATATTCTAGAAGTACATGCGAAAATATATGTAGTATAATAGTCCCTACCTTATTTTACTTAATTCGGATATTGTTTTTTTTTCATGATATTTCAATGCTTGCGCGAAAGGCTAACATAATAAACATTTTACATATATATTACCTTCACAATGCCAAATCTATTTTCATGGTTACTTTTAATCATCTTTATATAACTGCCGAAATTAGAAAATTCACGCCACGAGGGACGTAAAGTCGGCACAATTTCTACACTTGATTGGCTTGATGCCAGTCGCTTTCTTTTGCACGAAGCCATCTGTATGACTAAAAAATATTGGATTAAATCATTACATATTTCTCTCTCACAAATTTCTCTCTCACATATTTCTCTCTCACCCTACCTTTTTTTAATCAAAATTTAAAATAATTTTGGTATTAAAACTAATTTCAAGCTCAACGGATGCTCCAGTGTTTATTCAAATTTAAATACAATCGACAGTTCAGTTTGGAAACCAGTTGACAAAGCGTGGATTAATGTTTCGGTCTGGTT